CCTCCACCGGGCCAGGTGTGGCTGCTGTTATAGGACAGGTGATCCAGCAGGAACTGCCTCCATAGGCAATTGCTTATGCCATCACCTGCTGCCATCTCCAGGTGCAATAAGTGTATTTGGCTCATAGAAGGACTTACTGCCAACCGCAGCCCCCTATTCCTGCTCTCTGTCTTAGGTGCCCCCTTTCTCTCCCTCCCTGGCCTCATAGCTCACTTGCTGCCTCTATCCCTCCTCCAGGCCCTCCTCTCCCTTCCCCCAGTAAACTTCCTTACACCAGATCTGTTGCGTGGTGTAATTCCTCAAGGGGTACACCTTGGCATGGGGCCCACTATGGTACCCCCTTGCTTCATCATTATAGGTCTAACAGTTGCCTCCTGGCCTGCCATCAGCCCCTTCCTAGCAGCACCCGAGAGCGCTAGGCCGGTCACAGGCTCCACGAATCCTGTCTGAAGCACAGGCTGTCACGTCCTCTGCTGTAGCGAGCTGAGTTAGACACCACAACCCTGCCATGTGACGGCAAATCCTCCCAAGACATAATAGCAAAGCCATAGGGAAACTTCAATGTGGTGGCAGCTGTGTTGTCAGAATAAGGAGTCCAGTCACTTTGGGGTGTTTGTTTTTTTGTTTGATTTGTCGTTGTTCTTTGATATAGGGTCTCTATATAGTCCTGGCTGGCCTGGAAGTCACTGTGTAGAACAGGCTGGTTTCCAATTCAGAGATCCTTCTGCTTGAATTAAAGGTATGTACCACCATACCTGGCCTTTTTTGTTTTTTTTGGGGGGGACAAGGGTGTCTTTGTGTATATAGCCTTGGCTGGACTCGCTCCATAGACCAGGCTGGCCTCAAACTCAACAGATCCACCCGCCTCTGCCTCCCAAGCATTGGGATTAAAGGCCTGTGCCACCACTGCCCAGCTCTAGGTTTTGTTTGTTTGGTTGATTTTTTTTTTTTCCAGACAGGGAGACAGTTTCTCTGTGTAACCCTAGCTGTCCTAAAACTTACTTTTGTGGACCAGGTTGGCCTCGAACTCAGAGATACACCTGCCTCTGCCTCACGAGTGCCGGGATTAAGGGCATGCACCACCATGCCCAGCTAACTCTTCTTTGGTTTTGTTGTTGTTTGAGATATGGTTTTGCTATGATACAGCTGTGGCTATCCTTGAACTTAAGGGTCTCCTCATGCCCTAACCTCCTGAATGCTGGGATTACTGGTGTTTGGTGTCAATGACAGCCTTAGGACAGCATAATTGAAGCACTTGCCTTCAGTGACCCATCACATAAGCTCCCCAAACATGCCATTTTTGGTGCTGGGCCTTGTGCAGGGTATAAGGCAAATGCTTTACCACTGAGCTACATTCACATTTCTTGGGGTTTGTGGTTTTTTGTTTTGTTTTGTTTTGTTTTTTTGGATGTTTTCTTTAATTGTACACAGATAAGTATTTTGCCTACAGGTATGTTGTGTACTGCATGCATGATTGGGGTCATAGATTCTGCCTCCCCAGGAATGGACTAACAGGTAATATGCCACCATGCCCAGACCAGACCTGCTCCAACCTATTTCACTTTTGTTTTTGTTTGTTTGGTTGTTTTTTCCAGACAGGGTCTCTGTGTAGCCTTGGCTGCCCTGGACTCGCTTTGTAAACCATGCTGGCCTCGGACTCACAGTGATCAGCCTGCCTCTGCCTCTCTGAGTGCTGGGATTAAGAGTATATGCGGTGATTCCTGGTTTTCACTTCTTTTTATAGTATCTGTAGTTGGCTGAATTAAACTTTGCAGGAGTCATAGGGAAATGATAACCAGGAAGCATTGTTTTGGTTTTTTTTGTTTGTTTGTTTGTTTTTTTGTTTTTTCAAGACAGGGTTTCTCTGTAGCCTTGGCTGTCCTGGGCTCGCTTTGTAGAGCAGGTTGGCCTCAATCTCACAGAGATCTGCCTGCCTCTGCCTCCCTGAGTGCTGGGATTACAGGTGTGTGCCACTGAGCCTGGCTCTGGGGAGAAGTCTTAGCGTAGGTTTGGCAATCCTGGCTTCCCTAGATTTCTCCTTCAAAGGGGAGACCTGCCTAATCCGGGGAAGACCAGAACAGCCAACCCTCATGCACCTGTAGCATTGCCCTTTCTGTATCATTTCCAGCCAGCTCACTGCCATTTTATAAAAAGGGTAGTTATAAAACCAATGTCTGAGGTAGGTGAGACGGCTCAACAGGTGAAGAAAAGGACATGTGGTAGGAAGAGAAATTCAACTCTTGAAAAGTTGCCCTCTCGGGCTGGAGAGGTGGCTAAGAGGTTAAGAGCGCTGTCTGTTCTTCCAGAGGTCCTGAGTTCACTTCCTAGTAACCACAAGGTGGCTCAGAACCATCAGTAATGGGATCTGATGCCCTCTTCTGACGCGGAATGTATATGCAGATAGAGCACTTACATACATAAAAATAAACATTAAAAAAGAAAAGTTGTCCTCTCACCTCTACTCTATGCCATATCAGTAAATAAATAAATTGTGGGGCTGGAGAGATGGTTCAAGTGGTTAAGGGCACTGGCTGCTTTTCCAAAGGACTTAGGTTCAACCCCCCTCCTCTGCCCCCCCCCCCAAAAAAAAAGACTTCTCTCTAGAGGCTGACTGTGCTTAAACAGAGAGCAGCTGATCTGCGAGGCTAGGAAACCAACCTGGTCCCAGGCCCCAGCAACCCAGCAACGGAAACAGAAAAGCCACGTTGGGTATATGGCATCTTCAGAGTTACATGTGGAGAATGTTCTCTTCATTGTCTCATGCTGGCACTTCCAGTTCCCAGTCACAGTTCCTCCTTCGGACCAGAAGGGATGCCACCTTGTAGGCATCCCAACCATAAGAACCACTGACATAGGTGTGTGTTTGGCTCAGGTCTGAAACGGTTGACCTCTGGGCTCAGGACAGTCAGCCAGCTTCTTTCCCCACCCTGCCCTACCCTCTGGAATACTAAGGGGCAGAGTTCTTTAGGCTTTATGTTTCCAGCTCCACACCCAACCACACCCCAGAAGGGCTGGGGTCAGGAGAGGGCCTGGTGCTACCCGAAGTCCCCTTCAAAAAGGCCGAAATGCCTTGTGACCTGGGGATTGTCAGCAACCGGAGATCCGACCCCTCCTCCACCTGCCACCTAGGTAGAGATAAGGCTCAGGGGTCAAAGGTTGGAATGATTGATCCGGGAGGGGCAGAGGGAGGAACTCAGCCCTACCTCAGTTTTCCTGTGCCTCAGGCCTAGAGCTCACAACAGGACCTCGACCTCCTACTGACCCCAAAAGCTGGCCAGATGCTGGCTAGGACCAAGGTCACATCTTCTCTTCCTGTTTGTCTAGGTTGGGGCTTTAGCCTTTTCCTGGGGATTTACCCTCCAAGGGCTGGAGGTGGGGACTATGACTCAGCAAGTACCCTTCAGAAATCTCCCATTGTAGCCCATGTTGGGCCCAGAGGCCCAGGATCCAAGATCACCACCCCCACCCACCCTCATTCGGGCCACAAGACTTGGGATTTGTCTAAGCTGCTTGAGCTGAGAGGCAGCTGGTGAAGGGTGGGAGGTAGGTCTATGGGCTCTCCTGAAAATGTCAAATAGAACACCCATATTTGACTTGGCAACTAATAGGAAGCTCTGCCCCCTCCCCTAGCCTGAGGCAAGATCACAGGAGGCCCTCAGAGAACAGAGAAAGCCCTGAGTGGCGGTCCTGGGTATGACAGGAGAGGACATGCACAAGCCACCCACCTAAGAAAAGGGACCCAGCTCTAGCCCTATCCTCAGGAGGCAGCAGCTCCTTGCCCCCAAGCTTTCAGGGAGGATCTACCACTGGAATGGCTAACCCAGCAGCCAATCACAGAGCCCTGCAGGAAATACCTGGGAGAGGTCCTGAAGCTAAAGCCGGGCAAGTTGAACCCAGCCCCAGTCTGGCCCCAGGGAGCCCCAGCAGTCTCTAGTCAACCCAGACGCCAGCAGTCCTCACAGAGCACCAAAGCAAGAAGAGCTCTGGGGACCTGAGGCATGGGGTTCCCAGCTCCGCTCACCCAGGGGCTCCTGTTGGCTATGCTGGTCATCACAGCAGCAGTTGTCCAGCCCAACAGCCTGCTAAACCTTCTCACCTCGGGACGGGATGCTCTGGATCGCCAGGCACTGGACCGCCTGTTAAATACGCTGGCGGCCCGTGTGCACTGCGCCAACGGGCCGTGTGAAAAGGTAACAGCCCCACCCGATGGGTCCCCCAGCCCCGGCCCCTTCCTGCCCGCTCCACCCCGTGGCAGGCAGCAAAAGGGACCTGGGCAAACTCCAGGAGGCGGGTCCGGAGGCTGGTGCCTGAACCTACTTGCAGGCTGGAGCCTCCTCTCCCATCCTAAGGGGTCTTAAACAGGCCAAGCCTCCCTCCTGGGACACAGAGCTCCATCCATTAACACCCCCCCCCCCCCCCATCAAATTTGTGGTGACGCCAGGTGACCACTCTCACCAGAAGGAGTAACTTCTGGGGATCCCTCTGTGAGGGCTCCTAGTCAAGCTAGCTGTACAAGGGGCAGAATAGGACATAAGATAGCTGATAAGAGTTCCTGGCGCCATGGTCCACACCTGTAATTCCAGAGGCAGAGGCAGGTGGATCGCTGTGCTTTGAGTTCGAGCCCAGCCTGGTCTACGAAGCGTGTCCAGGACAGAGAAACCTTGTCTCAAAAAAAAAAAAAAGCTGATAGGATCCAATCCTTGATTGTGGCGGGTGGACCAGACCGTGTTTACCTGTTTGCCCACAGTGTTTATCTGTGGAGGATGTCTTGGCCCTAGCCGGAACTGGCAAGCCTCGGCTTGCCCCTGAACCAGTCCTGGAGTCCAGATATATTGGCCACCTTAGTGCTGCCGCAGCCCTCTATCTTAGCAACCCGGAGGAAACATGCAAGGACATCCAAGCTGGCCTCTTAGCCTCCCATGTGGACGATTACCTGACCACACTGGAGAGTCCAGAGGCCATGACCCTGGGTCTGAGCCAGCTACTGCAGAAGATTGAGGCCCATGCTGCCGGCCACCCCAACGGGAAGGAGGTGAGGGTCCAGAGGGCTGTTGTGGGTAGTGAGAAGGATCCAAGTGCTATGGAAGGGAGGCTGCTCCAGCAGGGGCAATGTCCCATGTGAAGCCTCACTGGCCTCTGAGGGGGTACTTGGGAGGTTGGAGTGTACTGGGCATTAGAACTGGATGTTTACTTTTGAGTGGGACAGGGACTGTGGGAGTCTTGGGGAACCCTTTGACCTAGACTGTGGTCCAGGGAGAGCCAGCTGATATCTTTGGTGAAATCTGGGGAATAATTTGAAGAGGCTGGGCATTGATGGGAGACCCATCCAGTGGGCTGTGCTAGGATGGACTCCAGAAGCTGACACTGGGGGTAGAGCTGAGGACAGTCTCTTTCTTCTCCAGTCCTGTGTAGATGTTCCCCAGCTGCTGGAGGAGGCTGAGGAAGCCGGAGATCCCGGAAGTCCCAGCCTGGTCCTGACAGCCTTGCTGGATCATGTCGTTAATGGGTCCTGCTTCCAAGGCCTGCCTAGCCCTCAGTACTTTGTGGACTTTGTGTTCCGGCAGCAGAGTATTGAGGCTCCCAACATGACCCTATCTGGTGAGGCCTGAGTGGAAATCCTTAGCCTCTAGTCCTGGGGGAGGGGACAAGGCTGGAGTTGCAAGAACCAACTACAGTGACTGTTTTTCTTTTTTTTCCCTGCCAGAACTGGAGGTTTTGATGCACCACCTTGGGTTGGGTGGAGAGGACCACAGTCACCATGATGACAACCACAGTCACCATGATGACGACCACAGTCACCTGGACAGGGAAGCCAGCCACCGAGACTCTGAGCTCCATGCTACCCATAATAGCAGCGCCAGCGTATGGGACATGGTGAGCCATTCCTGCAGTTCTGGAGAAAGATGGGCTACCCAGGGTCCCCTCAGATGCCTGACTCCTGTCCTTCTCCTCTTGCCTCCAGTTGTGCCTGAGTACCAAAGATGTGATGGCTGTATATGGGCTAGCTGAAGAGGCTGGGGTGAGCCCTCAGGCCTGGGCCCAGCTGACCCCTGCCTTGGTCCAGCAGCAGCTAAGTGGGGCCTGCAGCCACCGCTCCAGTACCCATATTCAGGGCCAGCTCACCCAAACAGAGAGTGAGTCCCTATCCCAAGGTGTGCCTGTCTAGATGGCCCAACCCCTGGGTGCTGGCCTCAAGGAGTAGACGCTGAGGAATGGGGAACCAGTAAGGGAGGGAAGGAAGGGTAGTGATTTGAAGGGAGAGGAGGGCCAGTATAAAGGGACACCTGGCTCCCACCAACAGCTGCTTGCTCCTGGGCTGGACTTGGGGGCTTCTCTGGGCAACAGGGCTCTTAGTGTGGCTTCCCCCACAGGTTATCTGTATGGCTCCCTGGCTACCCTGATCATCTGCCTCTGCGCTGTGTTCGGCCTTCTCCTGCTGACCTGTGCCAGGTGCAGCACAGTCACCCACTACGTCATGCAGACCTTCCTGAGCTTGGCTGTGGGTGCCCTCACAGGAGATGCGCTTTTGCACCTGATACCCAAGGTCAGCCCTCACACAACAGGGTAACCCCCACCTTCCTGCCCTTTCCTAGCCCCACCCCAGCCCTCTGTAGCCCTGAAGTCCCCCCTTTCCTTTTCAGGTGCTAGGACTGCACACACACAGTGGGGAAGGTCACACCCACGAGGAGGTGGGCATTGGTGCGCAGTCCACCTGGCGCTTGCTGGCTGTACTTGGAGGCCTCTACATCTTCTTCCTGTTTGAGAGCTTCTTTAACCTCCTACTGCCCAGGGACCAGGTCAGCCTCTGGGGTACCAGTAGGTAGGATGGATAAGGGCTTGGTGGACTCTGGGTAAGGGCTTGGTGGACTCTGACCAGTTTTTTTTCCCCACAGAATTCTGAGAAGGATGGGCCTTGCAGCCACGGTGGACACAGCCATGGAGTGTCGCTGCAGCTGGCACCCAGCAATCTCCGGCAGTCCAAACAGTCCCATGAGAGTTCCCGCTCAGACTTGGTAAGTAGCAAGTCCTATCCCACCTGGAGCCTTTAGCTATCTACTTGCCTGGGTTCATTCTTGCTCCCCACAGGTGACAGAGGAAAGCCCAGAACTACTGAACCCAGAGTTCCAGAGGCTGAGAGCAGGTGAGCCCTGAGGGAGTCCCTGGAGGGCTGCAGATCTGGGGTTTGCCTTTAGGCGGATGTGGAGGACCTGACCTACGGGACCCACGCCTGCCATGCCCACAGAGCTGAGGCTGTTACCGTATCTGATCACGCTGGGCGACGCTGTGCACAACTTCGCTGATGGGCTCGCTGTGGGTGCAGCCTTCGCATCCTCCTGGAAGACTGGGCTGGCCACTTCATTGGCAGTGTTCTGCCATGAGCTGCCACATGAACTGGGTGAGTGCTGGGGTGTGGCTGGAAAGGGCGGGGCTTAGTGAGAGTGAACAAGACCAGAATAGGGACAAAGCCTTTCAATGGGAACTGTCTGTCATTCTGCCTGGCTGCAGGTAGGATGGATTGCAGGGAGGCGGGAGGGGGCCTGGAGTGGGTCTGGCCTTTACATGGGTGTGTCTGTCTGGGATGCAGGAGTGACTGGTCTGTCAGGCAGGCTGTACCTGACATGAGGACAGAGCGCTTACTATGGCTTGTTCTGTCCCTAGGGGACTTCGCTGCTCTGCTGCAGGCTGGGCTGACTGTGAGGCGTGCACTTTTGCTGAACCTGGCCTCCGCACTCACAGCCTTCATTGGCCTCTACGTGGCTCTGGCAGTCGGAGTAGATGAGGAGGGCGAGGCTTGGATTCTGGCTGTAGCCACCGGCCTCTTCCTTTATGTGGCACTCTGTGACATGGTTAGGAAGGCGGAGAGCCTATGTCGGGGTGGGGAGGTAGCCAGGGGCTCCACCAAGCTGGCTGCTGAACTGATGCCCACCTTCTCCTCAGCTCCCAGCCATGATGAATGTGCAGGACCAGCGGCCCTGGCTTCTTTTCCTGCTGCACAACGTGGGTCTGCTGGGCGGCTGGACCGTCCTGCTGCTGCTGTCATTGTACGAAGACAACATCACTTTCTGACAGCTCCGTCCTGTCCCATTCCTCATCCCTGTCTGTTGACTCTGCCTTACCTCCTTAAGCCATCTAACTTTTGGATCAACTGGGTAGCCTGAAGGTTCAGGCCTCATTTCCCTGCTCTGATTTCAATAAAGACCTCTTGTCCATCAAGCTCAACTGCAGTCTCTTCTTGTAGCGTCTCCTGGCGGAAGCTCTAGAGCAGAGCACTGCCTCCTTCTGTCGACAACTGCGTTGGGGGTCCTGTGGTCAGCCAGGTTAGCTTGACTTTTCTGTTATTAAGCCTGGGGAATGGCCAGAGCTCTCCAGGATGGGTCCCTGTCTTCAGTCAAAACATCACCAATATTGCTTACATATATGAGGGCTCACTTCTGTCATGTACACAAGCCAAACCAAAGGACAACCCATTGATACTGAGCCACCCCACAGCTCTTGGCAGAATGGGCCATCCCAAATTCCCTTGCAATTAGTCTTCGGAGGTTGACATAATAATCTACCCTAGAGCAGGGGCCTAAAACAACAGAAATTTATTCTCATAGTTCTGGAGGCCAGAAGACCAAAGGCATGTTATAAAAAAAAAAAAAAAATGGGTCTGGGTTCTTAAGAAAGTCACCACACAAGACCAAAAAGTTTTACTTCTGCAGGAGCATGTGTAGCTGTGTGCAAGGAAGCATGCCCAGTGAAAACATTGCTGGGTTTTAAGGGATCCATTGTCTCACTGTGTAGTTGGAGCTCAGCCATATTCCTGTATGATTGATTGGCTAATATGTAACAGTGTAAGTTCTAGGGAGAACTAAATACAAACATGTTTTGATTTCCAAAGGAACTGTTAGGCCAGGCTTGGAGGTGCATGCCTTTAATACCAGCACTTAACAATAAGCAGAGGCAGGTGGAATTCAGGGAGATGTAAATTTGAATGTGTTTTAGTTTCCAAAAGTGTTAAGGTAAACATGTTTTGATTTCCAAAAGAACTGTTTGGCTAGGCTTGGAGGTGCATGCCTTTAATACCAACACTTGGAGAGGCGGAGGCAGGTGGAGTTCAGGCCAGCATGGTTTATTGTTGGGAGCAAAGCCCTGGGACCCTTCCTAAGGGCCTGACCTGCCAGATAAGCAC